GACTAGAGAACGGGGGGGGGGGAAGAGAGAGATTATTCCCTGGGCCCAGAGCGAGAGGACGTCCGGGGGGGGGGGCCCATGGCATAGACAGACGTGCTAAGGCTCCGAGAGGTGCAGCTCCAGGAGGTGGAGTGGCCTGATCCCTGGGGCAGAGGGGACCCCGAGAAGGGCTGTTGCACTGAAGGGGGTTCACCCCAGGGACCGCACGGGGCTAGGAGTGGGCCCAACCTGGGAGTCCGTGACAGGGTAGGAGGGTGGGGCAGAGTAGGAACCTGCTGTAATACCTGGTACAAACCCTCCCTTTCAGGCTGGGGGGGAAGGCTGCTCACTCTAGGGAGGGGTGAATGGCACCTGCTGGTCCCAGGTCAACATGCAGACAATGGCAAATCCAATTCCCAGGCCATTTACTACCTAGCAACTAAGGACCACAGCCCCCCAGCCACTGCGAGCGCTGGGGAACCGAGGGCTGGGGGGCAGGTGGAACGGGACAGGAGAGAGGGACAAAGTGGGAGCCAAGGGGACACCCTTTGGCTGGGCTCTGGGTAACCAGGATGGGCCAGGCTGTAACTTCCTGTTCTCTGCGCCAACCAAGGAACGTCTACACTGGCTCAAGCCAACCGATAACCCCCCTGCTGAGAGGGGGGCAGCGCTCTCTCTCGGGGTACAAGCCTCCCGCAGGTGTCCCATTCAGGTGGGCTCGCTGCAGGGAACATACGGCATGACGCAGGGGTGCTGACGGCTCCAAGGTTCAGTTCCAGGAGGTCGAGGAAGCCAAGGGGGAAGGAGGGAGACCCTAAGGGGTCCAGCCCACTGCGGGGTCCGTGACAGAGGGATCCTTGCTCTGATCCAGGCTGCGTGGGAAGGGGAGTGCTTGGCCCCAGACTGGCGGGGATGCCAGGAACGGGACCGAGGGGCACTCACCTGGCGCAGGTCCTGCAGGGCGGCGCTCAGCCGCTCGCTCTCGGCACCCGCGTTGCTCAGCTGGCACCGCAGCTGCCTCAGCTCCCCCTGCTGCTCCTCGAGGCGGGCGGCCAGCTGGGCCTCCTTGGCCGCAGCCTCGCGCACCAGGCTCTCCTCCCGGTTCTCCCCGGCCACCGCTGCCCGCTTGTGGCTGCTGTGACACTCAGCCAGGGCCTGCCAGCCGGAGGGCAGAGAGAAGTGATGGGTGAGGAGATGTCAGCCATGCTACGTGTTTGGCAGAACGCCTGGTGCAATGGGCACACACACAGGGCTCCCCCAGCAGTGCCCAGGCTGACCCCGCTCTGGACACACACACAGGGCGCTGGGGCAGGGGATGTGGGGGGCTCCCCCGGCAGTGCCCAGGCTGACCCCGCTCTGGACGCACACACAGGGCGCAGGGGCAGGGGATGTGGGGGGCTCCCCGGGCAGTGCCCAGGCTGACCCCGCTCTGGACGCACACACAGGGCGCTGGGGCAGGGGATGTGGGGGGCTCCCACCGGCAGTGTCCAGGCTGACCCCGCTCTGGGTACACACACAGGGCGCTGGGGCAGGGGATGTGGGGGCGTCCCCGGGCAGTGCCCAGGCTGACCCCGCTCTGGACACACACACAGGGCGCAAGGGCAGGGGATGTGGGGGGCTCCCCCCCAGCAGTGCCCAGGCTGACCCCGCTCTGGACGCACACACAGGGCGCTGGGGCAGGGGATGTGGGGGGCTCCCCCGGCAGTGCCCAGGCTGACCCCGCTCTGGACGCACACACAGGGCGCTGGGGCAGGGGATGTGGGGGGCTCCCCCGGCAGTGCCCAGGCTGACCCCGCTCTGGACACACACACAGGGCGCAAGGGCAGGGGATGTGGGGGGCTCCCCCCCAGCAGTGCCCAGGCTGACCCCGCTCTGTGCCTGCCCCCACTTACCTCCTTCATCTCGGTCAGCTCTGAGCTCAGCCTGTCCAACTGCCCCTCCAGCTCCCCGCAGCGCTGCTTAAGCTCCCCGTTCTCCTCCAGCACCGCCAGCCCGTACTGGGCGGCCTGCACCTTCTCCTGCGTTGCCTCCTGCAGCTCGGCCGCCAGGCGCCCCACCTCCGCCTGCAGCTGGGCCAGGTCTGCGGGCGCTTGCGCCAGCTCCATGGTGGGCACCGGGGGGCAGGTCTGGGGCCCGGTGGGGGGCAGCGGGCATGCCTGCGGGCAGGGAGAAGGAATAAAAGCAATAACCTCCTGCAGGCCCTACGCACCTGTACCCTCCCCCCGGATGTGCACCTGAAGTGGGGGAGGGAAAGGAAGGGGGGAGATGCAGGGGGAGAAACAGAGGCCCCCCCCCCGCCGTGGGGAAGGGGCGAGAAGGAGGGGGTTCAGAGGCCCCCCCCAGGAGTGAGGG